AGCTAAAGTAGAAATCGTTGGATGAAAGTATAAACAGCTACAGTGGGAAAGAACAAAATTATGCACATCTGATATATCACAGTCTGCTCAGAATAAAGTGAAAATTTACAGGTTGTATAAATTTAAGCTTTGGAAAAAACCACCAATGTGAATGCAAACATTGCATCCAAAGACTTGTAATTGAAACACTTACGCCCTCTAGTCCAATTGACTAAAAAGCTATCTTTTTTCCAGTTGTTTTTTTTTTTTTTTTTTCCCTGCAGAAATAAACTTTAAATTGATATGGAAATATAATCTGTATTGTAGAGAATCATAATGTTGCTACTATTTGAATGAACTATAGATGTTAATTTATAAATTGAAAATAAAAAAGGTATTTTATATAAAACAGATTTTTATGTTTGTTAAAAGGAGCAATGGGTTAAAATATTACCCCCGCTAAAACTATTCAATATAAAATGGCTAGAAGAGCTTTGACAAGCTCATTAAAATTAATATGAACATTTCAATGGGGCAGACTGGCTGTCATAAATTATTCAGGGAAAGTAATTATGCTGTTCAACAAAGCATGCTTTTTTTTTATATTAAAACACAAGCAAAATTTCCATTTCATCCTGCATTACTAGTTTTATCTTCTGGGGGGGTCCATAACAAAATCAGCTACAATAAACACACCCCGAATTACAGCATTGAGGATCAGTGAACTTTATTGCCTTGGGTATCCATGGTTACTAGTCACTGAAGAACAAAAGAGACAAAGATTTGACAGTGCTTTATTGTCAGCCAGGAAACCACAATTCAGGTTGATTTTATACCTGTTTTAGACACGAACTGAGGCTACTGCCTGCCAAGTTTAGGAGTGTGTATATGTGTCGATCCATGTACACAGTTTGTATTGTGATAAGGAGTGGCAGGAGCCTGCTTGCAAGAGGAGGTGGACTGAGAAACCAGTATAAAGGATATGTTGATAATTCCTGTTGAGTTTATATCACTTTGTATAATCTAGCAACACAAAAATGTACAAAGAATGCCTCTCCTTGTGACTTCAGTTCTCCACTGTTGAAAACTGCTGTTCTAAAACCTGTCATGAACTCTAAAAACTGCATTTTAAAATGCTTGTAGTGTTTAATCCTTTTAATCCTGCTGGAAGATTGTGATAGCTAGGGAAGTACTTCTAATTCTTTATCTGTTTATGCTCTGCAACCAGTACAGTATTTATCAAATTGAAAATAACTTTACTAACTTTACTGATTACTTTTTTTTTTTCTGGCTAAACAAAACTTTTTTAGTTTCCTTTGAAGAACCTTTCTCCTTTACCTTGCTCTTTTACTTATTCCTTCTCTGCAGAAGGGCTCAGCAAAGATTTGGTACTTTAAATACACTCTGTTTGAAAATACATGAGCAGAACCATGCACCATGGAGGACATCTCCTCAACTTCTAGACTGGCAATGACAGTTTGCTGTCCCTCTTAGAAATACTTTCTGAGTACTTATTATTACTGGGATTTTATTTATATTTGAACAGCAATTATGAGAAAAATATGAAGTATTTGATTAAAACTCACAGCACTTATATTGTATGTAACCAGTGAATTAAAAAGACTCCCAACCAAGGCTTGAGGGCAAAATAAATGGGGTAGAAATGGTTGAGTAAACCCACATTAGCTTTGCTGACTTTACATGTTGAGCCCATGTAGTTTTACCATGTCATCCCTCTTTAGTTCTAAGCTATTCAGCTGTTTGCACCCCTCTTGGTAACATTTGCTTCTGGAACATTTTGAAAATTGTTTATATAGGTTAAAAAAAATAGCAGAATGCTTTCACTGTTTTACCTCCAGCCTGACAATAAATCTAGACTTTTAGGAGTTTCTCTGTGTGTAACCAGAGATGACCTTAAGTGTTTTCCATTTGAGTTTAGTTTTATAAGTATCATCAAATTAGTTATTGGCTCATAACTGTTGTATCATATAATTGTATCATATAATTTATTTATTTGCAAATATTCTTAGTAAACTTCTAGAATTTTTTTGTAGCATCTTGTTTTTCATGAAAAATGACATTTAATCAAAACTTCATAAGAGAAATTCAGAGAACATGAATTTCTTCATTAGTAATTATTCACTTACCTCAAATAAGTTTGGTAGTTTCTTAAAATATTTGGAATTATGTAGAACAATAAGGTCTTCTGGTTTTGTTGCAAGTTTCCTCACTTTAAAATAATTTCATTGTTCTTTTAGAAGTAGAAAACTTTAAAACATTTTTAAACATTTGATTCTCTATCACTTCAAACTTTTTTTATTCCTTCAACACCTTTTTGTTAATTTCCTTAATTCTTCAAGCATGGACATTGATTTTAACAAAATATTAATGTAAATAGAATGAAAAATTTCATATTTCTGATTGCATAATATCTGCATCTTAAATTATTTTCATACCTTGACCTCAAAATACTCTAAAGTGGGTAAACTCATTAAGAGATAAGGGAATAATGCACAATCTTTCAGGAGTTTTTCTTTCATTGTCCTTGTGAAATGACTTTGTACATACTGATTTTAGCTTTGAGGTCTGAAAATACAGAAAACAGTATCTTTGTAGAAGCTCTTCTGCGATATCTGCTGGCTGAATTGGCACTTGCAGTTTGAAAGTGCCAAGTAGTAATATGAATACTAATACTGGCTGGAATCTTTCCAGTTCTATTAAACTCTTTCCATTTCTGATAATTAGTCTACTCTGGCTGTAATCTGACAAGAGGACATTTCTGGAAGTCCTACTATCCAAATTGGACTTCTAAATGGAGTACAATGATGAAAGAGGTTATGTATGCATTTTTAGGTATAGTAACAAGTTGAAGAAGCACCCTTTTTTTCCACTTGGGAAGTTATAGCACAAAAGGTCTTAATGGGAACAATGGTGTGGTAGGTGTTCAAAGGATGTAAAAAGGGAAGTGAGACATAGACATGTAAGACTTCATACAATGCTTTGGAAAATCATCTGTCAAGGGGTTATATCCACTGTGAAATTAAGAATTTATATATGCAATGAAGAGTTCAAAAGCATATGAATATTATTTAAAGACTACGAATGGGGTTACAATAGTAATGATGAAATCTTGTCTTTCACATATACTAGAGATGAGAACAAAGTCTTACACTTGCATTATTATAGAATCATTTCTCTTATGTTTATGACATTTTCATTGTTCAGAGGGACAGGGTGGACATGAACTCTGTTTTTCTAGTCTTGTGAACTTTTCTAGGAGTTATTATAATATTACAGTAGATCACTGATCCATAATAAGTCTTTTGCTCATCTCTAATAGTATGTGAGAAAGTTGAATTTTTTTTGAGGAATTGTGAATATTGCATTTCTTTGCTTGACAGTTTTACTAATTTTATTGGAAATGCGCAAGAACTTGTTGTATCTTCAGGTAAAATGCAGAGATATTATGGAAAGGAGGGAATTATTTCAACTGAGCTATTGTATGCCACTTTCCTGAGTCCTCCTGCCTTTTCAGGGGCTTATCTCACTGCATTTAAGACTTGCTCACTGAAATGAGCAGTTGAGAAAAGCTGGAAGGAGCCTTTCCTCCAGCTCTCCCACCAAGCAGCTCTGCATGTGTGCTCCCTCCCGATTCACTTGGGACAAGCTTTTAAGTTGAGACTCTCATGCTTGAAGATTACTTCACTATAGATAGTTCTGTGTGAACACTACTTCCTGAAAGCTATCTAAAGAAAGAAACAACTATTTTTTGAAAGGGACTTGGATGGGATACTGATTAAATACCATCTTCAGTTTTTTAATTAAACATCTGTTGTATTAATTAGTTTTACTGATCCTGCCCTGTTTCACTAAGTAGAAAATTTGTGTTTTAAATGTTGAATATGCAAAGTCTGCTTTATGGCTTTGTACTTCATTGTCTCAGATGCAGTTGGCAATCCATCCTGTAACAATGTCACAAAAGGAATATTTGTTTTTCTTCCTTTTTTTATTTGACTAACTGTTCAGTACTTAAATAATGAACTACTGTCTTCATTTAGCCAAATTTTTATAGTTGTCTAGGTGATTTCTTTCTGAGCAACTGGCTTCCTATCATAGCTCCTTTTCCTTTCAGTTGCCTTCACTGTTTAGCAGAAATATGGAATTTAACCTTTTCTTTAGAGTTAAAAAACATTCACATTCTAAGCCATAAAGCTCAGATATTGCTTTTCATCCTACATATTTTTTTATACTCAATAAAATCACGTAGGTCAGAAGTAGATTTATCTTGTGTAGTTGTCATTCTTTTCCACCTTTTGCTTGCACTTCAGAGAGTTGAAATTTCACTAAGGGAGCCCTTTCATTTAGGAGACAATTACCTGAAAAACCAAGATCAGTATTGATAGTAGTTAAGAAATTGGTCTTTCCACATCAATTCTTGGGCCATATCAGCCTGCGACTAGCATAATAAATGATATTACATGTATGTATTTTTTGTTAGACAAAGATGCCATCTTGTGGCAGAATGTTGGAAATTGTATCAAACGGTTTTCATTTTGGTGGAGAAACGAAGTCAAATTTTTAGCAATATTTCCAGTATTGTTTGTTGTACCATCATCCATTGAACCACGATCCTAACGTACATACATACCGAAGATATCTGATGAGCTAGCAAGTGAATATTTAGTCTTTAAGAGAAGGCACTTATGACAAATGCCTCATGGCAAAAAGTGTTCAGCATTGGGAAAAGTGTGATAATTCTTTCGTCTAGTAAGAAGTCAGCTTACAGTTGAAAGACCTTCTTTATAAAAAAAAAGAAAAGCGTGTTTGTTATGCTTTACTCCCAGAGAAGGGGTTAAATTACTCGTAGATTTGTCTTACGTCTAAAAACTGAAAATAACATAAGACATTAGTGACTAAATGAATAAAAATAACTAATACTATTCCTATTTATCTTTTCTTTTACTATGCAGTTTTCTCATTTACAGTAGCAATTTGTAAATGTTGCAAATATATGACCTCTATAAATAAAATACATGGACTGTGTATTACAATTAAGGTTTGCCAGCCAGATATACAGGTTTTCTAAATAGCATAAAATGAATAAAATTTAGATCAATAATGTTTTGACTGAGATTAATATTTATCTTTTGTATTACATGATTCAAGGGGAGGTGAAAAAGGAAAATAATTAGTGCATTGAAGAAGAATAACAGTAATTAATTGTGCACCGGTGGACTTGAAGAAAGAGGCATCTGTTGCACATTTCTGAAGCAGTAGGGAAGTCACACAGTTGTGACAGCCTGTGTAATCACAATATGAGTAAGTACCAAGGAACTCAGAAGTGTTTTTCACTGACTCTTGCCAGCTACTTTTTGCCTTTAACAGAAATCAGTTTCGTGTTTAGATAAATATTTGGTGTGTTTTATGAGGTTTTTAATATAGAAGTAAATAGCAGAAGATGGTAAATTAAATATTATTTTAGTAGAAACACCATTAGAGAATGTCGACTTTGCTCATACTCTGACTTAAAAATCTGATTATTCCTACTAAGCATTTTGGAGTTTTTAGAGATTGAAGACATGAATAAGGAATGGCACAAATACTTGTGGTTAACTATCTGTACCTTCAATTCAAGAACTTAGTATAAGAAACAAATTGTCAAAGCCATACATTTTAGAATTTGTATGAAGAAATAGTTCTTTTTCCATATTTGATGGTAACCTAAAAAACTGCATTTAAATGAGTTTAAAGTGAGGTGACAAATCTCCTAAATTCAGGAAAGAGATTACATATTCACATGAGTTTACACTGAAATCTTGTATGTAATTCACAAGGATGAAAAATATTCGTGGGAAATATAAAAGCATAATTAATTAATATAAAAGCAGAATTAATTAAAAAATCTGAAAGTAAGAAGTTGTTACCTCTGTCTGTACATCAGGCTATAATCTGAAGAATTTGGTAGTTATTAAAACTGTATATAGAGCAATACATATATTATAGAATGATTCATATGACTTTGATATAATGAATATTTTCTAATGTTTAAGATATGTAGAAATATTGTGTTGACTGTGTATGGCATGGGCAAACAGTTAAAGTCCTCAGAAATCTATGCAGATCAGTCTGTAATTATTCATACCTATATATTCAATATCTGACTTTTCCATTTAAGAAATGTTCACTTTTATCAAGCAAGGACATGGGTTTTATACTTTGCTTATTAAAGAGGTTGCAAAGTAACAAATAGTCGTCTCCTGACTGATATCCCTGTTATTTGTTCATCCAGAAATATCATGGAAATATTCATACACTTAACAAGAAAGAAGATAAATCGGGCTGTGAGTTGCCACTGATTCTTCAGGTGACCACCTTATTTTGCCACTTTTAATGAAGTTCTTCTGAAAGATCACTTCTGCCACTCTTCTGCAAATACTGAGACAAGATCTGCTGTTTATCAGCTGACTTTGGAAGGGTCTTTTTGCAGCAGCAAAGCAGCTCATACATCTGGTGTGTTAAATTATCAGGGCACTTCAGCCTAACAAGCTGAAACATGCTCCATCGAACAGGTAAACATAAAGCAAACAATGATGTATTATCTTCTGCAAGCTCTTGTGCAAGCCAGAACAGCAACTTGTCCCATAGGGCCTCTGAAGGGCAAAAATTAGTGAAGTAAGAAGAAATCTTCCCTTTTTTTTTTGAAAAGCTTTTTAAAGCTGGAGCCTTGGTGGCTAAACTCCCCAGCTAAATAGGGAGTGTTTAATAACATGCTATTCTGCTGTTAGACATTCATTAGACATAAAACTTCAGCAGAATAGTAATTTCATAATGTCTATATGTATTACAGCAATCTATTTTTGCAAAGCATTCCCAGCCAGTAACATTGATGTGCTCTGTCAAATGGACCTCTCAGACATGACCAGACTCTAGTAGCATATTAAACAGGACAGACAGAAAAGGAGAAATTAATCTTTTATCTCCTTAGCCCACTGTGTCACATAAATACAAAATATTTGATATCAGTAAATATGAACACATATACTTGACATCAAAACTTAATGCCCTCTATCTGACTTGTGTTGAACAAAATAGGTTAGAGGAGCAGGTGTTTTCTGTTGCTGAAGAAAGAAAAGCACCATTAATAGGAATTATTAGTGAAAATCAGATTACTTCTGTAGAAATATATTTTAAAGTAAAAACTGATGTGAATGTTTGCATACAAAGTAAACCAACAGTATTTTGACCACTGTCAGCAATATATTTGTAAGTGGATAATGAAGGTGTATACATATAGAAAATGGGTTATGATTGTACAGTTACTGCCTTCTTTACAAAAGAAATTTAGATTAGAATTTTACAGAAATTAGTGGAAATGTAGTAGTCAGAATGGTCACCTTAAAAAGACTCATCTGTCTCTGTCACAACCAAAATCAGACATTCCAGATTATTTTAACTATCATCTGGAAAAACAATAAATTGAGAAATGTGTAAAGACAAATTCAAAAAGAGAAACATGCTACTATTTATCGCCAGAAATTTAGACCAAGTGTTTCTGTAGATATTTTGATATCAAAATGTATGCAACTTTGATAGTAGTATTTTAGTGGCAGCATTTTGTGCAACATAATGTGTTGGTACATAGGCTCTTTGAAAAGTTTACAATGAGATTTCATTGCAGGAATATTAAAGATTATTTTATATGGCATGAGCTTTCACCAGAGATAGAGATAATTGCCCACATGACTGTACTGCAGAGGCTAATCAGGAATAATGGAATAATCAGGTGATGGGTGGAAGACAGGTTACACAAACCATTTAATGATCCTACAATATGCAATTCTGTGCTCCCAAGACAATGAAACAAGAATGATACACCTGAAACTCCAGTAATAATTTCACAGTGCCATAATAATTTCTCCCTTCCAGCTGGGGAGAGTAGCTGGGTGAAAATTTTCTGCTAGAATTTTTTCCATGCTTATACTTGTGTGTGGGTCCTTCCCCACAGCTAATAGAAATTCTGAGAATGTTTGTACATTGATGATGCACCAGAAGTCTATCAGTGACTTCTGTGTTTATCTTTAAATCAAAAATCATGCCAAGATCCTTTTTCTAATAAATATAAGGTAAGGCAGAAAGGGAAATGTCTCTAATATTATCAGGTGAGAAACACACCTTTGGCAATGTTAATGCTAATTTGCACAGTGGAGACTGGTGTTGATATTCATCATATGGTAAGGTTTCTTTGGTATCATCCATTTCTTTGGTATCATCTCTCTGGTAATTTTATAAAACACTGCTGTTCCTTTGTAATGAGGTGAACTGTGGTTACTAAATTCATCCCCTTCTTTGATTTGGAGCTCCAGCCTTGGTTGTCTTTGTGAATGAAAAATCAGTCTGTAGACTTTCCTGAAGCTTCTCCATTCCCTGCAGTCCATATAATAAATTAAAAAAAAAAGAAATGTCCTGAATTTAGATGCATGGCATCTAAAATAATTCATTAGCATGAGTCAAGTAAAGGTAATCATATAACATTTGGTTGTTCCTTGATTGTTCTTTATCATTCCTATTACTTTATTGAACATCTGAATTCAGCCTGCTTCAGTAGTAGGCATATCTTTGTAGCTAGCTTTCTTAGCCCTTTAATAGTTGGCTTCAGGAATAAGTGGTGAAGGCAGTGCTGCAAGTTGAAAATCAAGGAACAGAATAGAAGAATAAAAATAAAGGGGTGTTGTGAATGAAATTAAAAGTATATGCTTTCTGGTTATTCAGGATAGATAGCTATGTTTAACAAAAAAATGAATGGCACAGCAGAGGGGTAGATGCATTTTTAGGCTTTCTAAATCCATTTATTTGATACATCTACAGACACTGTCCTTTGTGTGTAAAAGCAGACATTTCTCATAGGCTGGAGACTTCTCTTTTTGAAGAATATTCCTTTCTTTAGAGTACATTCAGTTTTCAATGGGAGAGTTTATGTACAAAATGTTCAGAGGGCCAAATATATATTTATATGTTCAATCTAAGACAGACAGAAGAGACTATATGCAATTTAGGGTGAAAACCTTTCAGAGGCTTCTTCTCCCTTTTCCCTATAAGCAAGTCTCTAAATGGTGGCAGCCACTACATGGAATTTTCTAGGCTGTTAACAGAAATGGCATAACTCTCTCATCACCTCAATTCACAGTGCAACTCACAACAGGCACTATTTTGCCTTGGTTTCTTCCTCAGTCTAAGTGAATGTACTTGGACAAAGCAGCAGACAGAAACCTGTCCTTTTAAAATAATTCTTAAAATACCCTGGGTTTCTGAGGACCCAGTTTTCACAGAATTCACAAGGGTTTAAGAGATCATCTTGTCCAACTCTCCTGCTCAAAGGAGAGTCACCTGGAGCACATTGCTCAGGAGCTCGTTCAGATCGTACATTTTCTTTACAGTTGGAGCAGTTTCCCATTAAGCTCCACATTCCTTTCTTTACAAGAAACAGCACACTGAAATAAACTAACATTACACACTAAATGTACTGTGAGTAACTTCAGTCTACCTGTGTTCCCATACAGCCTTTTTAATAGCTGAGGTAATTGATAATGTCCATACACTTGCATGAATTAACTGCCTTACCTGAAGCAGAAATATTTCCTCTAAATCTAAAATGAATCTGCTCTCCTTGTCTTAATGGGAAGTGCTGTGTGGGTTCTGGGGGACCAATATAACCTTCCTCATAGAGATTTTGAAGTTCATTGATTAATTCTCTGGATGCAGACAGAAAAAACTGCTACTTTATATGGGTTTTCTCTTTTCTGATACAGTATCACATTAGCCCTTGTGCTACGGAGAGCTTCTTCCAGAACCTGAGCAAAGAGGAGAAGATACCTGTTTTCCAAAAGGAATGCAAGGCAAACAACCATAAAGCTGTAGTAAGGTAAAAAAAATAAAAGGAAAGAAAATTAAATTTAAATGCTTTATTTAAAATAATTTATCAACTGCTCATATATTTATCTTAAAAATAATATGGGGCTCAGTCTCCAAGGAAACTTTTGCTACCTTCTTTTCATCCCTGTTTCCTACATATGAAAAGGTGGAAATTTGCTTGTGTTTGTAGTGTAAAGTATGTTGACTATGTAGATATGATTTCAAATACACATGAATTTTACATGAAAGGAAGATAATATTTCATAATAGGAATTAAAAAAAAATATGCCTTTTTAGTTAGAGAGCTAAATCACAGTTGCCAGTTAAGACTGATAGTTGCATTTCCTTTCTCAATGTTCTATGTACTACATTGTGTACATTCTATAAATGAAAAAGGGTTTTTTTGTAATTGTGAGCAACAAATCTAGGAGCAAGTTAATGGTTAAAAATGGATGGTTTCTTAACACTACTAATTTCCACTTATTTATAAACACAGAATTAAATATTTCAGTGAATAAAATTTTGTTAAATTATTCATATATTACCTTTCTAAATGCTCATTTAGTTCAAAAGATACAAGCCCATTCTGTGCATTCTGGATAATAACATCATCAAACACCTTCCACCCCTCTTCATTTCAACAACCTAATAATTTCGAAGTATCACTGAGATTGTCCACACTTTTTCTCACAGAAGTGCTCACAGCCCTGGAAAGCCAAATAATTATAGGAAAAAAAACCCATAAAAATAGTTCTGCAGAAAGAGTAAGCTTGTGTTTGTAGCTGTTTTCCCCTCTGCTGTCCTTGATGACTTTTTCTGGTTTACCCACCTTGCTTAAAATCTGTCTGGAGGGATACTTCAGAGTATGTGAATGATTTCATTATTTAGAGTTTTTTTTCTTCAATTCTCCAGAAACTGCTGAAACATAGAAATCATCTTTTTTTTCTTTTTTTCCAGGAGTCTCCATGTTTAAATGCTTTTTAAGACATGCCAAAAAGTTTTAGAAATATTGTACTGCATACTTTCAAAAAATCTGGACTTTTATCTAGTGCATAAAATTGACCTACTATAAACCCTTGTGCCATGCATGTTGATTCAGGCAACCATTGAAACATGTAGAAGTAGAGATGAAAAAATTCAAAGGTCAGACTCAAATCAACTTGCTGCGAACACAGCAGATCTAAGTCATGTCTATTCTTTGTGTTCAATTTTTGACTTTGGTGAACATGTCTGAATATTTATTGGCGAAAAAACTTCATACAGTCTTCATTCTGACTCCTGCTAGAAATGTAGTGGTCACCATATTTAAAGAATAAACATCAAATACTGTATTATTTTTCTGGTGAAACTATAGCATGAAAATTTTGAGAGCTTGCTCTAGTGTTTCTAACAAAGTCCATAGGTATTGCAGTCTATATAAAAAAACAAACATCATTTTAATACAAGAAATCATAAATCAAAATCTGTTAAAATTCATTGATTTTGATGTTTTAAAAAATGGTGAATTTGAATTGAGGTATTACTGAGGATGGTATGCTGCAGCAACCCTCTTAACTGTAGCACTAATGGCTCTTGCATCTTCTGTCTCAACTCCTGCCTTTTTTTGTCTGGGTTCGGAGGACAGGGTAGAGTAATAGTGACTGAGCTGTTAAAAGGTTGGGATGAAGGATGTTGGATATGAACCAGTGCACTCATAGATATCACTGAGTGATACATATAATGTCTTGCTTTCAATGCTGAAACTGATGGCTCAATTGGCTGAATCTAAATATAGAAAGAAATTATATATAATCAACTTGCAATAAAAACCCCTCTTCTATTACATGCCTGAATTTTTTTACAAAAATTTGTTTTACAAAATTGGTTTATCTTTTGAAGTTGGCTAGGCTATCACAGAAGAATCAGACTCCTCTTTTTAACCCAAGAACAACCTTACCCAAGTAATAGCACTTTATACAAAGCTCAGAAAAATGCTTGGAAGTCATCAAAACTTGGAATTGCCTAAACTTTCTATTGCCTAAAATATTTATATAATATTGCCTAAAATATTTATATCATTTTATATTGACTAAAATATTTATATAATTTTGTTCCTGATTTGAATTCGAGCTTTGAAACTCATGACCTTCCTCAGATTTTGAAAAATTTCTGAGATTTTTCTAATCTGTATTTTTTCATAATTTTAATTTCTCCATACTTCCAAATTAACATCTTAATGGGGAAAGGGAGAAACACAACTGAAACACAATTTGAGACTATACTCAGCCTAAGACTAATATATGATAAACACCTTTTGTTGCACTTGCTGGCACCAAGGAGAGAAATGGTGAGAGAAATGGTTCCATTAAATTGATCACTGTGCCAAGCAATTAAAGTTTTGAGTTGACACATCTTCATTGAAAATTACTATATTTTCTGAACTATATCAAACAAGGGAAGATAGATCTTTTTTAGCTAAAGATATGTGGTTTTAACAAAGCTGACAGGAAATCTGCATGTACAGGATGTGAAGCTGCAACTTCTGATTAGATTCTGATTTTTGTAGACTTCTGACATTGGAAGAGATTGCACTTTGAGATTATTAGCATACTCAGTGCAGAACTGATCAGATAACAGTCTTATGGAACAAGTATCACCTATTTCAAGCTTACTTTAACTGCCTAGGTGCCAGAGAATTGAATGTTTCTGAATGGTAACAGAAAGAGATTTGAAAATCCACGTTCAGCTTTTGTAAGAGTCCTACCTTTGGAACAGTAAATGTTTCCTTCTTTAAGCATGACAACAAAGCAAAAACACCCAGATGATAAATTTTTACTTCTGCAAAGCTTTCCTGATTAAAGCGAATGTGAGGTTAGAGTATTGGAGGGAAAGGATGCTGTGTTTCACAGTTTGAGAAGGTAGCATTCTCTACAGAGGAAAGTATGAAAAGAAAATAAATTGACTATTATTGCCACTGGCATGCCCAAGTACCTGGTGATCTCTAGTCATCATGTGATGTTATTAATATTCCAGTGTATGATTTCAGTGAAACGAAATCAAATTATAAATTGGGTGATTAATCTGGTCCAATACAACACTTCTGCATTTAAAAACTGTTCCTTTGACATAGTTTGTACTTATTTATACTCATGGAATTATGTTATTTTGTTGTGATCTAAAAGCACAATAATTCCTCCTAAATTTTGCTTTTATCAAATAATGCAATGCATTGCACTTATTTACAATAATCATGAAACTTTACTCAACCATTAGTATTGTGGGATCAAGCATTTGCTTAACATTGTAAGTGAAAAAAAGAATGTTAGTAAATACTGGTTTTCAAATAGAATTAGGGCTTGAGAAAGTAGAAAGTTCTGTTTAACCACACATAGTGGGCAATATGATTCAATAATGACAACTTTACTTGAAAAACTCCAGAGACTTAACTGGGAAGCTCAAACTCTGCTTTTGCAATCCTTCGATGAGAGTTACCTTATGGTTTCCTTAGGATCCTTGTAAAGAAATAGGAGTTAAGTAGTTTGACTGGAAGTTGGTATCAGTCACCTTCACCATAATCTCCTGATAATTTCCTCTGAAGCATGATGTAAATGCAATGTTAATAGGGAAAAGTGGTTTTTCATAATCATAACATTCCATACTGATGACATTGCTGACCAGCTCCTTAGAATCATCCACCACCAAGGAACTAGTGTCATTGAGTGTATTACACTTCAGATTCTCCAGAACAGTTGCAGGGGCTTTAATAAAATAATTTCCTAGGGTTTTTTCCCCACTCTCTTTGACTAGAAATATATTTTAAAATTATTTGTATTTTGAGTGGGGTAGCATTTTGTATTTTTAATGAAATATTTCAATGTAATGATGTGCTATAAGGAAGCATAAGAAGACAATTCAGAAAAAATATTTTTAAGAATAAATGAGAAAATCATGAAAAATTTTATGCTTAGTCTGTTTCAGAACAGCTTATAAATTACTGTAAAACTGATGAATTGTGGTCCTTTCCTACTAATTTCCCACAATTTGAGGATTATTGACTTTACTGGCTGTGACTCAGTCCCTCTCTGGCATAAAAAAAATTATGCAAATAGAAACTTAGTGTTTACTTTAGACCAAAGGGAAAGGTCTTCATTGCACATGTTCAAATTGTAAACTGCTGTTATGTGCACAACCAGCATCTGTTCAGTACATGTATATTGAGTTTCTGCACCCACACATTTATAAGTTAATAAGCAATAATTATGCACGTGTTCCTAAATAAAGAAAGAGTATGTGCTTACTCTTTGTTCATCCAATATCTAGATTTTTGTACTTCTTCTGAATCACTCACAGAAGGATTCACATCAGGAAGATCATAAGTTTGTGCTGAAGATGTGAAGGTACTTAGTTAATTTCTAAAAATCTCTTTTTTAAAATTTATTTTACTGTCTTCCATTTTCTCTGTCAATTTGTGGTCTTCACTTTTTAGCCCTTTTAAATTGTCCCTGACTTCTTCCTTTTTCTTCTGTTGAAAAGAATTCATGGTGTTTCTGTCATAAATGTCCTTCAATGTCCCAGACAGAATGTCTTCCTCATTGCTTGTGAGAGCATCCTGAAAAGCCAGGTCTGGAGGCTTTTCAGTAACAGAGCTACCTCCATGAAGTTTTCCACTGCACTCTTTTTTCTCTGTAAAAGAGACAATCACTAGTTGGTGTTCACCATCTTCCTTTTTCATTGGAGACCTGCGCGTGGGCGTATGCGGCCCTAGATCCGGCTAGCACGAGGGGTGAGAAGGCCAACGCCCCTGCGCATAAGAAGCCAGCCCCCCTCGGCGTCTTGGC